TTAGGGGTTTAGGGGTTTAGGATGTAAGGTGTAGGGTTTAGGGGTTTAGGGCTGCGTCAATATGGCCCCAAAGTGTCAAGGTAGATAACTTATGAAAGCCATCAAGCTTTGAGAAAGCCTCAAGTTTGGGGGGTCTCAGGATAGACCCTGAGCATATTACATGCTCGAACAAGGTACCCTAAGTTTAAGAAACCCCACACCTCTAAGACTTAAAACCCTAAGTGCTAAACTCCCACGATGCTGAAGCCTAAACCCTGAACCCCCCTAGAAGCGCCTTTATACAGCACTCTAGCCACCAGGTGCCCTGCGGCGCCGCCGTCTTCCATCACCAGGAAAGGGGCCTCGGGTTCCTGGGTGCTCTTTTCTTTTTTGGGTTTGGGGGTTTGGGGGTTTAGGGTTTAGGGTTTAGGGTTTAGGGTTTAGGGATTTAGGGTTTAAAGTTTAGGGTGTTGGGGTTTAGGATTTTGGGGTTTGGGGTTTAGGGTTTAGGTATCATGTGTCCTTCTCTTTGGGTTGGTCTTGCCTTTTTGCGCCCGGAGTTCGTGGGCTGCTCCAGGTAGATCGCTCAGAAGTGGCCCAGCGATTCTTTTAAGAAACTCTGGATGTGATCGCCTTGGAGGAATCTGGGTTTCTGAGCCAATGGCTCCAGGATTGATCACGGTACTCAGTCTGTCGGCTAGACTCGGCTAGACTTTGGATTACATGGATGAACTCAAAACTTGAAGCCCCCAAACTCAATCGGGGGATTAGGGGATAGACTGTTTTAAGACTCGTTGTTTTTTCTAGCCCCGGCGACTGGACTATGATATACCGTATGAGCCTATTCAAACGATCAAAACCGCCATCTTAAACCCTGGTAACACTGGTTGAGAGCCTTGGTAAGGCCGTATTCCAGCTGTCTGGACCCGCAAAAGAGGGTTTAGGGTTTAGGGTTCTAAGCTCGAGGCTTTGGAGGACGAGCGACCCCTAGAATCCGCCAATCCCAAAACCCCCCACAGCCGAAAAGAATAAAGTTCTAAGGCCCAACGTGGCCCAAGAGCCTTGGACGTACTCCGTACTTGTATTGTCTTTCGGCCGAAAGGCTACGTCCGTGTTCTCTAGACTTCAAGCCCCTAAACCACCGAATGCAATTAAGTATTTTGAGCCCTTAAAAGGGATCCTTAAAGTGTTCTATAAGAGGTCTACAATAGGGTTCTATAGCCCTAAACCCCCGAATTCAATTCACTATTTTGAAGCTTTTTGAACCCTCAACGTCTTACGGAAGGACGTCTGGCACGGCTCGGGCCCGAACACGACCAAGGACCCAATGGTTCCAGGGTCAGGGTTTGGGGTTTCGAGGGGTTCGTGGGTTTAGGCTTCGTGGGTTTAGGGTTCAAGTAGGGGCTTAAGAGGGTTTCAGAGTCTAGGTTTTTAGAGGTTTGAAGATGAGGGGTTTGGAGGTTTAGGGATCTCGGTTCCTGGGTCTCTGGGGTGGCTGAGTGATCTGAAACTCCGAAAGGAAGGGCTTGAATTTATTCGTACACTCTTCCAAAGGTTTCCTTGTTGTACTTATGCTGTGCTATGCTATGCTATACTATACCATACTATACCATACTGCACCACACTATACTATACTCATACTATACTATACTATACCATACTACACTATACTTTACTTCGAAACCCCATTCCAAGAGTTAGGGTTGCTTTGGTTCGGGGTAGTTAGTGTTGTGGTTTGCACTGGTGGGAGTTGAAAAACTTTAGGGTTTAGGGTTTAGCTCTCAGGGTCTTTGGGGTGTAGGGTTTAGGGTTTAGACGCTTAGCCAAAGGATCCCAATCAAAAGGTACGAGGAAATCTCTGTCTAGCCGACGGAAAGCTTCATCAGGCACAACTCCTGCACACCTCGGTGCAGAGTTGAATCCCACACCTTGCACTCCACACCCTTCGAGATCCACGCCACGAGACTTCGAAATCCAAGCTTCTGAAACTTCCCCAATCCTTAACCTTGTTTCGTATTCTCAGCCGCTAAGCATGAAGCGTGAGATGCCCCCAAGTCAACAATGCCAGTGTTAGATCCTAAACCGCGAGCCCCACGTCTAAATCCGAAACCCTGGCCACGAAGATCACCGAAAGCCAACAAACCCCAACACACCCTGGACTTTCAACTCGAACCCCCTGCGCCTCTCAGCGCAAAGCCCCAAACGCCCCGCGCTCTAAACATCTAGAAAACTCCCAACCCCCAAAATTTCTACAACTCCGGAACACCTCCAAAGCCTCAAAGCTCCAACACAAATCTGGAAGCCCCAAGCTTCCACAACCTCGCAGTGGCTTCTCTTCAGCCTGAAACCCTAAACAGAAATACTCATGGAAACCTTAAGCCCTAAACCCTAACCTCAAACCCAAAAAGCTTAAAAGCCTCAAACCCTAAACCTCTAAACCCTAAACCCTAAACCCTAAACCTCTGAACCCTAAACCCTAAACCCTAAGCCTCAAACCCAACAAACCCAAAAAGCCCCCAAACCCTAAACCCTAAACCCTGAACCCTCAACCCTAAACCCTAAACCCTAAAAAGCCCCCAAACCCTACAAACCCAAAAAGCCACCAAACCCTAAACCCTAAACCCCCTCTGCTTCTGCGCA